GCTGGAAGTTTTGAGAATACAGCAGCCTACTGAAGTGATCCTTAGTTTAACTTTCCTCAGTCCATGCCTAGCTGGGTTCTTAGGCTTCCTTCTATCTGATGAACACTACAAAAAAGGGAACTGGAGATCATTTGGCATCCAGCTGGTGTACGTTGAGAAGAAACTTGGGCTCAAACATGATCCTCAGAAAGTACTCTGTAGTGGATCTCAGTACAATGGGAGCTGATGCTCCCTTTGTTTCTGTTGCACTAGGTTGAGCTGCTTAAATAACTTGGTTATCTGAACCAACTTTATTACCTAATAGGAAGCTTACCTAGCAAAAAGGTGAGTAATATCTGCCAGATTAGTGTTGAATCAGCTAATCAACCCAAGGATCAGAGGGGTGCCAAAAGCAGTGTAAAGGTAGATGGGGGTGAGGGAGAAGAGGACCACTTTTGGCAGAGTAAGCTTCTTAGGTGGCTTCATTCAAGTCTGACTTACATTTCAGTTTTCACACTCTACTGAACAGAGATTGTTGATGGTTTTTAGCAAAATTGCTGTCTGAAGTGGTGAACAAGAGCTTGCTTGTCACCTGTGCAGATAGTAGTCATGTGCAAACTCTCCAACTTTCTAGAAATCTTTAAACTGACATCAAGAAACTACACTTTTACCACATGAAGTCCCAGAGAACACAACTTTCTCAAATGTGGGACAAGGGTTTCTGGAATATTTTTCTACAGGTGTGACTTGACTTCTGACAGACTTTTCCTTAGGAAGGGCATTAATTAACAGTGTGTCTGTTAACAGAGTTGAGAGTCATAGTATAAAAACTGTTAATCTATATGAGAAGGACAAGCAGTTGTAGTAGACAGAAGTATATTGCATTTACTAGAGCAAGTTTTACTGCAGTTTTGGCTGTAACAGGGTCTTTGGCTATGTGATCTGACTTTTTTGGACTGTATTCAGGCAACAAATTCTTGTACTAAATGTAAACTCTTTTTAAACTTTTGTGCCACTGCTATAAGAGTGAGATTTTAATGTTAAAATAAACTTAATTAATGATGGGCACTGTGCAGTTGGGCTCTTGGGTTTCTTGCTCTTGTTTGCTCTGGTGCTCTAAGTCTTAGTTTTGGCATTAAACCTTTTCTATCCCTACCAAAGCATACTCTGAAGTTCTTGTTTAGAAGGTGATCTGTCACTGGAAGTGTGTTGCCTGGAACTCTGTACCAAGTGGTATGATCAAGTCTTATTTCTACCTCTTTCTTTTACCTTGTTGTCTATCACGGTTGTCACAAAAGAATCTGGAAAACTTGCCAAAGTGAGTATGGATAAACCATTAAAACTCTTTCCTTCTGGCCATTGTCACTTGTCCTTCAAATTTAGTTTATTCTCTGGTACCATTGTTCAACTTGGGATGCATTTATAATTCTGTTGTAGAATTGTCATCTCATTAGGTATCTGTACTATGTTTGTTGGTAACTATAACACGCTATGAATTTGCAAGGGAAGCAGGATTAAAATTGGAAGGATTGTTTGGTATTTCCAGAGAATTAAGTGTCCAGACCCTCTAGAGTGCAAGTACGCAGACGCTGTGATTTCTGGTTTGTATGGGGACTGATTCTACGCATTGCTGCCTGTGTGCAGCAGCAGAACGACGGCTGATGATTGCAACAGGTTTGCTGGTTACAAGTGAATGAAGGTTTTTATTTCAAGATATTCTAAAATGCTCTAAAGATGTCACAGAATTATTTAGTCAAAATTTGAGGCTGCTTTTAAAAGAAATTGAGTAAATTAAATCATGCGTAAGAACATTTGAAACATTAGCCAAGTGAAAATCCTTTTGGCCAATGATTAGAAAGTATGAAGGTAAAAATTATTCTGGAAGCACTTGGTTTGGGATGTATCATACCACGTTAAAAGTGGGAGTATTTGAGCTTTGTTCTGGGCTCTGATTTCTTGCATGGTCTTCAGCAAGTGGGATTATTTACCCAAGGTGTTCCCTGTTTTAAAATGTGATTCTGTGGGCAGAAGGTAGAAATAGTTGAAAACAGGTCCTAAAGCGTATGCCTGCTTATGTTACGTTCTAGAAATAGTCTTGAATTTTTGATATGATCAGCCAAATAAGAGAAAATGTGGTTATCCTAAGATACGAAGGAACTTGTCACAGTGGAAACTTTACAGTGTGCCTTCTGAACAGAAAAGTGGTGGTTTTTCCCTTCGGTCGTTGTCTGAAGAATTGAAGGTCAATAGGCTCCTGCAGATTTCCAAATGAAAACTGGCATTGCACTCCAACTACAGATTTCCAGGTTCCAAGAAGCACAGTTGACTCTTATTTCTAATGGGATGTTGTGGGAAGGAGTCAAGAGAGGGTGGATGTTCTAGAACAGACCTCATTTTGCCGCCTTAGCAAGAAAAGGAGTAAGAAGCTGAGCTCTAGCATTTTTTTTCCTTGAATGCTACTTTTGCAGTTTAAGGGCAGGAAGGAGATAGTAAAATCAATTCCATTTTCTGACAGTAATCTGGACTGTATATAATGATATGAATTCTTTTTATCACTAAGAGAAGCACAGTAATGATTTGTTTGTAGGCACATTGCCAAAATGCAGAGATTTTGGATTAGTTCATAAATAGCTGTGTTCTTCAAGCTTTACAGTCTGTTCAAATTTAAACCTTCCCATCATTCTAGAAATGGGAGTATGTGGAGAGGGGGAAATGAACATTTTTTGGCTTTGAATCACCGGGCAGACTGCAATGAATACAGGCTTTGATTCCATAAGGGACCTTTTTTCCTTCAGTCCACCCAGTTTTGTAAATTGAGGATTACTGACTTGTTCACCCATTGCAGCTGGTTGTCATGTGGTGCTGGGGGAGGTAATTCTAGGGTAGCTAAAAGGCATAGCAGTGCTTCTATGTTTCTGTGACCTTGAGTTAATTATTTATAATGTTGAAAACCAAGAATACTACCCAGAGAGGTCCATTAGTAGAAAAAGCCAGTAAAATTGATAGTGCGGGAAATAATGTCAATGAATGTTGAGTCAGAAGGAAACCAAATTTGTTTTTTATTAATATGCTTTCTGGTCCAACAGGACGTGTGCCTGGTTTAGAAAGGTATTAAACCTATTTACATCTTGGTGTTGCCTGATGCCTTTCTCAATAGCATTAATGGGATAATCTAGGCAGTGAGAGTGTATTTAATAATGTCTTATACTGCTCTAGTATCTGCCTAGAGCTGATCAATACTTATATCAATCATCTGCTGTAAAATACAAAATCGTTGCCCAGACTTGCTGAGAGAGGGGTATTGACTGGAGTGATAGATGAAGGCGAGTAGACAGGGGGACATGGATCATGTACAAAGATTCATTTAGTCAAGTTGTCCTAGCGTGGACAAATGCGAGGTCATACATAAAATGCAAAGAATGTATACTACGTATTATGTAGCAGAGATCTGCCTTCTGGCTAAGCAAAACTGGGTAAAGAACTATGTGGTGGGGGGACCGCTTCAAAAGATGAAGCTTCAGTGACTACTGCAAGCCTTGGGTACAAAAGCAAGTATTAGCATGTCATTTCTCTCTCTCAAAAAAAAACCAAAACAAAACCCAAAAACCCAAACATATTGAAGAATCTAGATAGCTCATTGTAGGTCTGAAGAATTCTCACTTTGTTTATTAAAAAAATGAAAGTTTTAAGCAGCTTGTTCAGTTAGCCTGTTGATGGAAATAGTTAATAAGTCCTTACTCAAAGGGGAGCGCTGTAATGTGGGACAAATGCACAGCCAGATCTGATCTCTGACTCGAAGTTCAGGACATTAACCTGAACATTACTGGTAATGCATAAATCAAGTAAGTGAGGTTGTATATTAGATTCCCAGTCACTTTGGATGGCATTATCAATAAGTAATCTCGATTTTAAAGAAGAGGGAGAAGTGTTGTGGCTCGTAACACAGAGGAGACCAGTCTCCATACAGGTTGTGGGGCTTTCTTGGCTTGGTCACGAGGTGTGTGGCAGCTGTCTGCGTCAAGCCTGAAGGGTATAAAAGGCTCATTCACTCTTTTGTAGCTTTCTCAGACTAGTTTACCTTGGAAGCTGGAGTACTGAATGGAGTCTCTGACGGGTCATGAGCACTGTAGTAAGCAAATGGGAATGTAGAACTCTTGTGGGTCCCCCCACTTTGCTTTTTTCCTAAATGGAGGTTGGAGTGTATCGTAATACATAGATCATGTGAGAAGTGAACACAGGGTAGTAAACTACCAAAGCTAGTGACTCATTCCCATAAAGTTATTAGTGATATGTACCAGCTGAGTATCCAGGCTCAGTGGGGCTTCTTTCGTTTTTGTTTTCATAATTCCATTGGTACACCTTGTGGATATGGATGTTTCTCTTTGAGTTTTGCATAGAACTTTTATGTCTGTTACTGCTTTTCTTTGATAACTAGACTTTGTTTAGCTGGCAAAAGTTTCATACTAGTTTCTGAAATACCTTGAAAGTCAAACAAATGAGTAAATGTCCATTACTGGATTATGAGCTGAACAGAAGTGTCAGTTCAACAGAACAGATCTTCAGATCGAAACTAAGAAATGAGATGAAGTATTTATAACAAGGTAAATGTATTTCTTTTCTTGGCTTGCCTTTTATTATCCTAAAATGCCAGATATGTTACAGAGGCATTAAGACAAGCATGGTGACATTGAAACATAAAATAGGAAGTAATCCTTCCACAGAGGTGGGTAGGCTACAAGCCTCAGGCTCCATATCTGGGCTTTAATGAAGCATAGCTCGCAGAAGAACACTGCTTTCTTCCAAACCTGGTGAAAACGTGCACAATAGATTAGACATGTGAGTTGTTCTCAGATACCTAAGAATGCAATATTTTTTTTTGCTGGTTATTTTTAATTCCTTCCTCAATGCAGTACAAGGAAAGAAGACTTCGTGATTTGCCAAGGCATCAAGTCATAGTTTTGTATGGAAAACAATGTTACCTTTCTCTGTTCATCTTTCTCTATTTTTCCTCCCCCCCCCAGTGTTCTGAGGACAGTAAACACAATGAGGAGTCATCTCAAGAAGACGAAGGGTTTATGGGTATGTCGCCTCTTCTACAAGCCCACCATGCTATGGAGAGAATGGAAGAATTTGTGTGTAAGGTAAGAGCATGTGGAAACTGCTGAAACAGTTTCCTTTCTTAGGAAGCTCCAGTGGGCAAAAGACTGTACCTGCAGCAGCAGCGCTACTAATGAGAGGGAGAGCAGGTACACACCGTCCCTGAACGGGCATCTCTTAGTATAACTAGTAATACTGCAGCTTCTCAAGATCTCAGTCTGTCATAAATGAATAAATTGTCAAGCGTGGAACAATAGGGATTACAAGTGAGACTCTAAAGCTCATCGTGCAACTGAGGACTCTCTCTTGAGGAACACTTGTGAGTGCAAAGCAGAATAAAAGCCTTCTGCTTCCAGTGTTTCTGGTTCAAGGCACTTTCATTTACAAAGTCATTTTTTTCCAGGTTTCTTCGACTTGCAAATATTTTACTTTTCCAGCACCATTTGCATGCATTGTAGAATAAGCTTTGTCCCTTACTTGAAAACTGGCTGTATTAAAACGATATTGAAGAAAATCCGTTGTAGATTTTGTAATTGCTGACCTTAGCTCAATTTTTGCTACTTTTTAAAGCCATGGGGCCGTATCAGTCTCTGGCCCTCCTTTCTTTGTGAAAGGAGTGCGGCCCCATTTTATACACTTGTTCATGCTGGTGTTATGAACTGTTCTTTGATGTTTTTACAGAGGGACCCTGGTGACTTGGCCGCCTTTTGTGTGGGGGTTGTTTTGGTGGGTTTTTCTTTCTTGGAGTTTGTTTTTATTTTTTATTTTTTTTTACTGTGCCTGTTTTCCCCTTTATAGATGTTCTGCAGGGTGCATTTTGTAAAACTTAATTCCATCCTGCTGTTCCTACCTCAATTCAAATTTTTGGTTTGTGAAGTAAACCAGTTAATTTTCTTGTTCAATGTATTTAAGAACCTGGTCTTTAACTGGGTTGGTTATTCTGATTAGTTTTGTTTTGCTTTTGCGAAGGAGTGTGGAGAATTGATTAAAAAACTCTGGGATCTTATTGAAACCAAGATAAGAATGTAGCTTTTTAAACTTAGTGTTTCAGGATTCTTCAGGCTCGCTCCTGTATCGCTAGCCAGACGACAAATCCAAGGAACACTGCAGAAACGACCCCGGTATATAAAGCAATTCCCTGATACCCTCTGCTTGGCAGTGCTGCTTCTGAAGCCAGACTGAAGACTACATGTATCTCATGTTAACGAAGCAGCACTAAGAACACCTGTGCGTGCTTTTTTTTCGTTTGGAACCAGCTGCAAGAATAGATGTGTGCACATACACACGCTCTCTCCCTTTAAAGAAGAAATCTGATGGAATTGAGAGTCATGGATCTGTTGCCTTAACTGATCTGTCACCGTTTGTTTTGGGAGTGTGGGAGCGTTTTTTTTTCAACCTGGATAAGGGATTGGACACTTCTCATAGCTCTCTTGCTGCTTCATGCTTTCTGGCCCATGTTAATGCTGACGGGTAGCTTTCTTGCTAGACTACCCCAAATGCTAGCAGACTGACAGTCAGACTGGCTTGTATTTGGAAGAACAGACTTCTACCTGCGAGAGAACTAGGTGTAGCCTTCTTCAGTTAAATGGAAAGGATGATCTGTGAAAATAACCCAACATGGGAATGAATTCAGTGCATTAGCAGTGAAAAAGCCCAACAGCTTTCCCGTTCAGTGAAATGCTGAAATATATCTTTCTCTGGTGGTGCAGCTCAACTTCATAATGATTCTGTTTTGAATAGGGAACAGTGACTTAAGCACCGTATTTCCAGCGTAAAGCCTTTTCCCCGGAGATGTCCTATCAACCCTTTTCGGTTTAGTGTACTCACAGATTAATACTTTTACTAATACGCGTTTTCTGACGTTTACCATGCATCAGTGGAACTAAATTCCCTGCATTTAAGTGAAATCTTCTAACTTCTAGGTGTGGGAGGGCCGATGGAGAGTCATTCCCCATGATGTTCTACCTGACTGGCTGAAGGACAATGACTACCTGTTGCATGGACACAGACCACCCATGCCTTCCTTCCGGGCTTGTTTCAAGAGTATCTTCAGAATACATACAGAGACTGGTAACATCTGGACACATCTTCTAGGTATTTTCAGTTTGCTCTAATGCTAATTGGTTTCGTTGCTCTCTTTCTTTAAGAGCAAGATAGAAGGGGGTGTGGGATGGTCAGCACGATTGTTCCGTTAGTAACTTGTTAAATTAACAGTTTGCTATCCCTCCCCTAATTTTATCCCAGCAGGGTTGGATGGGACTTCCTTAATTATGGCATTCAATACGAAGGAATGAATTAAAAATTTCCTGATAGTTGATAAGTTACTAGTAGATATTCTGTATTCCCAGGTCTTTAGGTGTTAATTGAGATCACATTTCTTGCCACAGGAGCACACTCAAGTTGCACCTTATATGAGTGGTTTTTAGCTTGCCAGGAGCCTTGAAGGGAAGGGATTTCTTTGAACTGTGCCCTTCTTTTTTCTACATGTTGCAGCAGGTTTTTTTCGTTGTTCTGGAATGGTCTAATGAGTTCTCAGGCGTCTTGCAAAACATTTGAAAATACAGAGTTCATGCAAGTCTGTGTTGCATCAGTATGAGCCAGAAATGGGGTTGGAATGCGTAATGAAGCAGGGCAGTACTTTATTCTGCACGTGTACCGCTGGTTGTCGTGCGGCTCCTTTGTTTGGTGCGTTGAAATCATGCTCTTGGAAGAAAAGCTTTCAGTGTGCGCGAACTTGACACGTTTCCACCTTACTGTTTTCTCAGGATGTGTGTTCTTCCTTTGTCTGGGAATCTTCTACATGTTTCGGCCAAACATGTCCTTTGTAGCACCCGTGCAGGAGAAAGTGGTTGTTGGATTGTTCTTCTTGGGAGCCATACTCTGCCTCTCCTTCTCATGGCTCTTCCACACAGTTTATTGCCACTCAGAAGGTGTTTCCCGGCTCTTCTCCAAGTAAGTGCCTAGACGAGAGGGTAGGCCAAATAGGAAACAAGTGGGAAAACAGGGTTGGGATTTATGCCTGGAGCCCCGCTGTAGGAGTTGTTCATTGCATGACTGCATGTACTTTGGAACAGAGTGGAGCAGAGATTCAGTGCAGCTTCTTCTAATTGGTGGTTGTTTCAGCATGACTTTTTCTGCTCTTGTTTTAATCTTAAAACTCCTTTGTTTTCTGCTGTTTGGCAGGCATGTGCATGCGTCTTGCTGCTGTAACATACCTAGAGCTCAGTTGCAGGGCTTGAATTTTTAATGTCACTTCTTGTCATCTCAACTGTTCTCAGTAACTTTGAATCTTAGTGTAAGACAGCTCCACAATGTGTATGAAGATGTCTTGGTCTTTTGGATTTACTATGTGTCCTTTTTGGGTGGCTGCTAAATATCTCATATTTCCTAATATTACTCAGCCTAGGATTGTGTAATCTACAAGACCACCTCTAAAGTAACCCAGCAATTAAAATCCTCTACTGAAAAATTAACTCCATCTTTTGTAGGAGCATTTTGTAAGGGTGTGGTAAGAAGCCATGGCTGTAGGAATTCCTTTTCTTCCCTGGTGTATAGAAAAACCGCGTGGTTGAAAAACTGCGACATTATTCCCCAGTGGTCACTTAAGCTGATGCCTAACTCGCTCGTGCTGCTCGGATGCTAAAGTGTTTGTGTTGGCTGTGCTCTCATAACATACTGTGTGCACTTTTTTGTGCTCAGAGGACTCGTGTGGCTTCTTTTCCTCATCTGAAGCTTAAATCTGAGTTTCTTTCAAAAAGCTTTGGTCTAAAGGCTGCTGTATGTGTTGCTGATCGCTGTCCAGAAAAGGCCTTACTAGCAGCCTTATCAAGGTAATCCATTACTGTAGGAGGGCATTGCTGGAGAGTTGCCGTCAGGAAGCAGGTTGCAATAGTGAGAATAACTTCATTTTGCAGTGAGAAGCAGGCAGGTGGTCTGCTAAAGAAGAGAGTGTTGGTATGGGGACTTCCAAAGGTTCACATTTCTTATCAAACTGGTTTTTTGTTTCCTTCTAGGCTAGACTATTCTGGCATTGCACTTCTCATAATGGGCAGCTTTGTACCATGGCTGTACTATTCCTTCTATTGCAACCCTCAGCCTTGCTTCATCTACTTGATTGTGATTTGTGTCCTGGGCATCGCAGCCATAATTGTCTCACAGTGGGACATGTTTGCAACCCCTGAATACCGGGGTGTAAGGGCAGGTAAGACCTGAAGCTAACTGTTTTGCTTCTTGACTGCCTTTTCTCCTTCCTACTTGCCACTTGGAAAAAACATCTTGGGAAGACTTAAGAGAGCTTAATTTTAGAGAGAGCTAATATTCTTGGATTGGGAGCTTGATGGATTTTCTTTCAGCATTGATTATGGTGAACTGGATGCATAGATAAGGGCTTGTGCGTGCCTGGAAGGGTATTTCTGAAATGGACAGTACCACATGCAGCAGGAAAGGTAGTGCAAAGTGTTTCTAGCTGTATCTAACAACTTTGCTCTCGCAAAAACTGACTGATGGCTTGGTGTGTGTATATGTATATACCTTGTACTGTTTGCTTTGTTTTTGTAAGACTAGGCTCAGACACTAGCAAATCGTTGAAGGATTGAATTAATCTGAGTGATTTGCCTAGATAAAATACATATTAAAGACAAAAAGCCTAGTTTTTCTCTTCACGTGATCAAAAGAACAAAAAACAGATCTGGTTTCACATTCTGAGGTAGGAAGAAAGAGAAAGCTTTAGGGGGCAGCTATGGAATCTGAACACAGCTGGCCGAATAGTAATATTTCATGTTACTTGACCTGCACATGCTGTCTCCAGGAAATCTAGATTTCCTGGAGAAGCTGTGAGTGTACCTTCAGAGAGTTCAGCCTTCCAACCTTAAAATCTGTGGCTGGAACCTGATTATTCCCCCCATGCTCGCTTTTTTTACAAGATTTCTGTACTTGCTGCTAAAATCTAAATGAATAAACCGTGTTCTCATATATGGCAGATCAGATGAGCCTCAAATGCTAGTTTTCTGTTTCCTAGGACTACTTGTGTGTAGCGTATGACAAGTGATCCCTTTGTCACCTCTCTTTATTGTCTTGCTCTTGAGAGTATAGTAAAGTGAGACGTGGTTCGTGTAGTCTCAGTGCCCTCTGCAGCCCGAGACCTGTAACTGGCTTAAGGCACATTAAAGCTGGCAGACATAGGCATTAAATGAAGTATTTCAGTATCTGCTGGAACATATAACTAGCTTCTGGTATATGAAGGAAGTCGGTGCATTCTATACCTTCTTGTCCAATAAAGCTCTCTTGGGGACGTCCAGCTTCAAGAGTTGTCACTTTTCTGCTACTTTGGCAAAAACTAAGTTGTCCCTCCGTAGCATTTGTGTTTTCATTGTCTCCCTTTACTGCCACTGTGCTCAAATCTGACTCTCCCACATTTTTTTTGCCTCTCAGGAGTATTTCTAGGTCTGGGTCTTAGTGGGGTTATTCCCACCCTGCACTTTGTCATCTCTGAGGGGCTCCTGAAAGCAGCCACAATGGGGCAGATAGGCTGGCTGGCACTCATGGCATGCCTGTACATCACTGGTGCTGCACTATACGCTGCCCGCATCCCGGAGAGATTCTTCCCTGGCAAGTGTGACATCTGGGTGAGTCTACAGAATGACTGGATGAGGAGACCAAGATGAAAGCTGGTTCCCCTTGAGGCTGGAGGATGTTGTGTCAGTGTTTTCTTATTGCAAGTATCAAGCTGCTGCACCAGAAACATACGCTCTTAAGGGGCCAAACAACTGTGGGCTCTTTGAGCCTGCTTACCTGGTGCCTCTCTTGCTGGCTGGTCTGAGGTAACTGCCGGTGTGCAATTTCACCCCAGCACATCTGCTAGATAGCTTTAATAGTAAGCAACTTTGCAACCCTTTTTGTGTGTGTCGAGGATCCTGCGGACACACGTCTTACCTTGCTTCTGTGCAGAGTAGTGCGTGGTTATTTCTCTGACGTTCCGTGTGTTCTCCGGGATCTTCACCGTGTCTGGATCCTCACCTTGTGCGGCCAGGGGAAATGCTGGATAGAGTTGGTAGACTTTGGAGGGCATTTGTTGATTGACCGGCTGGTTAAGATGACTGAAGGAAAGGGTGGAGGGGGTGTGTGAGGAATTTGATTATTTTGCTAATGACAGGAGAGGGATGGGCTTTTAATACCCAAGTGGGAGAACTTTGCAGCTTGTGGTTTGAGGTACTGCTACGTGTTACTGTGTACTTCAGCTGAACGTGTGGCTTTTTTGGAGACAGGGTGGCACCAGAAGCCAGAGCACCCCGTCTGAACAGAAGTGTTTTCTCTTCCGCAGTTCCACTCCCATCAGCTGTTTCACGTCTTTGTAGTGGCTGGTGCTTTCGTGCACTTCCACGGGGTGTCGAACCTCCAGGAGTTCCGTTTCATGGTCGGCGGCGGCTGCACGGAGGAAGATGGGATGCAGTAACACCAGCCTTCAGCCCAAGTTCGTAACCAAAACAGTACCGCAGGCGCGGTTGAAGCAGACAGGCTAGCAAAATGAATACCTAAGAAGAATCCAAGTTTCAGCTGATGGGGCATGGAGCTTCATGGGGATTCTGACTAACCGAGATAAATTCTATACCTCAAGCAATGGAATGAATCAATTTGAAGACCAGGAAATTCTGAAACCCTAATTTATTCTTGGGATCTACATATTAAACTACAGAGGACCCTTCCAAATCGGCTTCTGTTCAATGCCATATTTATTTGTAGAAGTGGGGAGGGATAGCTTAGCAGTTTGATTTTTTTTTTTTAAAGAAAAAAAAAAATCAAGGTTAAATTTATATCCTCTTGGAGGGTTTGGGAGTTGATTTTAGATGCTCTTTTGGGAGAAAAACAAATTGTAAATAAGATTTCTAACTTTCTGTTTAAATAAAATTTATATAAATGTTTTAAACAATGGGTGGGGGGAAAAGGGTTTTTGTAAAGAATGCAACATGCAAGTACCACACACTGTTTCAATTTTGCACAAAATAAATGATTGCAGGAGGACCAGGTAAAATTCCCAGGAGTGAAGCATGTCGGCCCTGTGGATTTTCCTGGTGGCTAGCATGCCCTGGGCAGTGGGGGGTCCTGGGCAGCACCTGGAGTAGGTTCAGTCCACGTACACAAGGGTCGTGAAGGCTGGAGTAATCATGTTGTCATGCGGGTCACAGTGTTAGTAAGGTTATTTACTGGAGTAACTCGAAAGACACGTCTGCGCCCTGCCCGAGCGTGTGGGACGGCTGCCTGCCAAGCTGGCGTGGCCTGTACGGTTTTGGGTAGCGGATCTTGCAGGGAGTTGGTTCGGCTCTCCTGTGAGCTGGTGTGTGGTGGGATAACTGCACAGGACGTGGCGAACGGTCCGACTCCATCCGTGCCTGCCTGTGCCCGAAGGCCCCTTCTGAGTAGGTGGTTGCCATTTGCGGGCCTGCCCTGTTTTGTCGGAACAAATGATGGGAACGCACTTGTCAAAAGGTGGTTGAGCATGTGAGGGGAGACAGAGGTGGAGTTAAGATGGACTGGAAGGAGGAAGCTGTGTGCTCCAGGACTTGGAGTTAACAATTACTGCAGACCTCAAGCACGTTACCTTCTCGTGTGTCAGGCTCCATATGCCAAGGGAGTTTGCAGGTTTTTTCTTTTTAGGAGGAAAAAATCCACAATTGGCCCAATGCTGTTCCATTTTTATTTTATTTTTTTTTTCCTTAGGTCTGCTTCCCATCTGTGCTTTAGCAATGGGACCGCTGGTATTTCTTAAACCTAAAACTACGAGTTCCGTTGGATTGATGTGGAGCAGACGCACCTCCTATATAAGGGGAGGTGTATACCCTTCTCTTGTGTAATTGATGTAGCTTGATCTTTGGAGCCTGGTCAGGAGCTGGAGTGAAGGAGAATCTTTGGAGTCGTAAGATGAAACTTGAACGTTTTGTTTGTTATGGCACAGGTATTGCTTGGAGTGTTCAGTTGGAAATTCCGAGCGCTTACCTCTCTCATAGATGAGTTAAACAGCTCAGAAAATTGTATTTCACAAGGAAGGAAGGTAAAGGGTGGTTTTTGTTGTGTGTGGGTGTTTGTTTTCTGGAGGGGTTTTGTTGGTGGGTTTGTTTTTTTTTTTTGACTCCTGCAAGCTCGAGTTTTCATCCTTCAAGAGAAAGATGTGGATTGCAAAGATCTTCTGTACCCTGGATATCACGGACTGTGTTTTGGGGAGTTACTTTGCCTAATGGAGTCAAGCAGCAGCAGAATGCCTTCCGAAAGTTGACTGGATGTTAAGGCTTCACCGCTTGAATGGAGTCTTTGTAAAGCCTCTGAGAGCAAGGTCAGCTGCAGAAAGAGGTGCTGCAGCGGAGTCTGTGAGTGTAGAGGGACATGTTCTCAGTAGGATAGCTACACTGGATGCCTGTAGGGCTAGAAGAAGTTTATCACATGTCTCCGTGGTACTACAATGAAGTAAAGAGCAGTATTAACTTGGATGTGAGAGCTAATAGCACTGGCATCCCTGACAAAAATGTGGAGTTGCCTGGCAGGAGGTATACTGGTGTCTGAGCGAAGCGTGGTACGTATCAGAATCGGAGCTGTCCGTCAGCGCCGCGGGGCACCTCTGCAATAGTGCCAGCAGAAGTGGCAGTCTGCAGCCGGGATCGTCCCACGGTCACGCTTCGAAGGGTGATTCTAACCTGGTCCTGCGCAGCACAGAACTATTACAAAATCACAGTACTCCACCTGCTATTCTTAACCCAGTCAGCCTCTCCGTTCGAGGATTTTGTGTGTTTCATTAAAAACCACCTAGCTGTGCACTTTTCTGTAGCTCTTGCTGAGAACTCTTCCCAGGTTGGCACCTGAATGCCTTACTCTCAGCAGTCAGAGGCTTGCTTGCTCTGTGTGCAGGTTATTGCCATAGAATAGTTAGGACCTACGGCTTCTTTCCTTCCCCATTAAATAGTGGCCTTGTTCAGTATATTTCTTTTTAAAAATTGCTTACTGTTCAAAGCAATGAAGCACATTCTGGGGTTTTGATGGTCGGGGACTCTGGTGATGGTTCCATATAAGATGGGATCTTATTACTTGCTGTATTCTTAACTTCTGCTAATAAAAGAACCAAATGAAATATTTTCTCGTTTGGGTCTTTCTGTGCTGTGTGAGAAGCTTGAAAGCGTCACTCTCCCTTTTCCTTCCCAGCGCTTCACAGGGAAAAGCCTTCTGCTGATGCAGAAACCAAACCGATGCCTAAAGGCTAGTTTACGTGCGGTTGAAGCGGTGCTTGCTGTATGCGTCTTCGAGCAAAACCCAGTTCCTGTGACTGAAACATCAGTTCTGCGGCGTGGCACCCTCTTGAAGTCTGTAATTCACATCAGGTATGTGCCTGGTCTTGCCAGAAGATTTCAAGACTATTTAACGTGTATCGAGATTGCAGCAGACAAAGGTGTCCATGGACCATGCTGCCTTTCACTTACAGTGCCAGTCTCAAGGGGAATCTGTTTTTTCCAAAGTCTAGCCTTGATGCCCGCGGGAGCTGCCAGTTGCAGTGCAGGGCAGATACTGGTGTGAGTCCTAAGAATTCCCCTGTGCACTGTTACTCGGAACTTGCAGAGAATGAGGAGCCTGGGACAACACATTTTCCTGTCCCATGTCTGCTTTTTATTGACCTCTGCCATGTTTGAGAAGTAACTTGAGGTGTTGCTGTGAAGTTTCATCTTTTGTTTTGGAAAGCTCAGTTGAACCCGTGCTGTAGAGTGAAGGCATAAAGCCACGGGGTGGTCTTGGGGCTGGCCAGCCTGTGTCAGGTCTCCCTCTCCATCCCCCGAGCCTCCGTCTGCACCCAGGCTAGCTCTGATTTCAGTGGTCAACTGGTTTCTGCATGTTTAGACACACTAATAGTGCCTTGGTGGCTTAGTTTTTCAGTTCCTGGTCTTGTAGATTTGAGAGCAGACTGCACGTGTGCTGTCCCCTTCCTCGCCCCAAGGTTTAAAAGGGCTTTCTCTTACCACTGGGTGCCGGGGGGTAATGGGTGGACAGGGGAAAGGAACAAACTAGCCAAGGACTCAACCTGGTTGGAGTGTGGTGAGAGGAGCAGAAACTCTGATTTATGGGCAGTGTTGGAAAGCCAAAGGTGAAGCACTGGGCCGTGAGAGCTTGTGAGAAAGGAAAGGGGCAGGAGGGATCGAGGACGTGAAGAGCAAGAGCTGGGGGAGAAAGAGGGTGGGTGCTGGAGATCTTGGTTGTCGTGGGCGAATTTTTAGGTGAATTGAGATTGGGAAGAGATGTTTAGGAGGCCTGGACTCAAATTCCTGGTGTAGAGAAAATGCCTCCCAGCTTGTCCCCAAGTAAGGAACTGATATCTCCTCCTGGTATGCAGGCTTAGGGGTGGGAAGGGGTCAGGTTTGGCTGCGGGGGGAACAGGGCCGGTGGTGACCGGAGCAGCCCTGCGCCTGGCTTGGGGCCTTCTGCTCCTTCATGGCCATTCCTCAGCTGTCAGCAAACATCTGTGAACCGCCTGGGCGAGATACGACTGACCCGCCCCTTGTGTTGGCTCACGCTGCGTCTGGGCATCTGCAGCTGGGCTGTAGATGGGTGGCTTGACTCGGGGTGCAGGCATTGCAGTGACTTTGGAGAGAGCCATCTCCAGTAAATGACCTGTGGCAGCTTGAGGTTTTGGGGTGGATTTTTTTTCTTTAAATGCAAAGCAAGTTCAAGGAGCGGGGAGAAGGTCGGCATCAGATTACACAGGAATTACATTAAAAAAAGCTGCCGTGTTTGAAAATGAAGTGACATTTAGAAGTTGCCTGCGCTGGCTAAAATTGTACGTCCTACCTCTGCTGCCTGCCTGCGGCCGAGCTTTGCTCTCTCCCACGAATCCCTTGCTTCACCCGCTGCAAAGAGTGGACTTAGCCCAAGTGTGGACTGAAGTGCTGCAGTCAAGGTGAGTGTCTAAGGCCATTGCCTGACTTTTCAAGTAGCTGGAAATAAATTAAGCATGTGATTAGGACGGAGTTTGGTTTCGGTGAAGCTGTTAGAATCTTGCCTACAAAACTGAGTTCTTTGTTTTCCCCTCTTTTTTTTCCCCTGGCTCCTGTGTGGCTTGGAGCCACTTGTTTGAACCAAACGCTCCTGCTGGTCAGTGCTTCTGGATTTGTCTGGAGTGCCCAAGCCGAAGTCCTCCAGGCTGGTTTCCAGGAGTGCTGAGCGCTGATGTGCTTTGAATGAAGTTTCCTGAAAGGGTCAGCTCCCTGGAGAAGATGTGTGTTAATTGCTAGGTCTGTATTGCTCTGTATGAAGAAGGAATAGCAGCCCTGAGCTCGTGGCAACACCGATGGCCTCACGCCTGATCATCTTCAGCTATTCTAACAGCCAGCAACGTGGCAGAAGTGCATGAGGAAGCCCTCGGCCTGGCATCACCTGGGCAGCGCTGCGGTTCA